AGGGAGGGTGAGACGCGGACGGCACGCAGAGAGGCGCCGGGTCAACGCGCCAGGTAACAACGCCTCAGGACATCCGCTGACGTCCTCGTCGACGTCCTTGTCGTTGTCCTCGTCGTCATCGTGAACGGCAACGCGCCGTGCTTCTCCTGGAACGTGGACATCCCGTCTTGTTCCACGGATAATACGATGTCCTTCCACGCCGCCTCCTGGAGCTTCGCCCTCCTCGCGGCCACGGTCGCGTTGCTGCCCGCCACGCATCGTGCTCCGTTCGCGCAAGCCGCGTAAGTACAGTTTCTTCCCTGTCTTTTTACTCCTCGCTCGATGTTTCCGTTTCCTTCGAGGTTAATCCGATGTTATCGCAAACGACGCGATCGCGAAGTAAGTAATCGTCGAATCGCCTAAGAAAGAAAGATTCTAGTCGATCAGATGGTCTTACCATCCAACGTGATTCCATTTCTAACAGCGAGGCGTCTCGCTGCTCGAACGAGGCAGCCAAATAGAACGTGTAATCGCGTAAGATCGGTAAATGCACCGGTATCCGTGCGTAATCTGAAAACCCGGACGTGATGTCAGGCCACCAAAAGTAAAGACGCGTAATTTGCGAGGGTAGAAACGTAGCCGAGCACGTCTAAATCGATAGACGCTGAAACTGTTGGCGGACTTGCCGCGTGTATGCGAAGGTCTCTTTGAACTTTACGCTGTGTTCCGCTCGAAGTTGATGTACACCCACCTCCGCGGTGAGACAGTCACGCGCTCACATTAGGCGAACTCACGAACTCGAGTCTCCGACAAACTCTCCGAGAATAATTCTCTCTCTTGTCGTGACCTCGAACGGACGCCGAGTCGAAGTTAATCGACGAAGCCTAATGTGCCTAGAATACCACACGCTGGCAATCGATAGACTTGCAGCTGATTCTACGGCGCGAGCTAGGTGCAAGGATTTAATTAATGATCCATAATCCTATATCTCGATTACGTGTTTCGCCTGCGGTGAGCCGTGCATGCACACCCATCGAGGCACGCGAAATTGGTCGATAAACGGCTATAATGGGCACGATAGAAGGGCGAGAAAAACAATCACCTCGTTTGAGTTACGCGCGCGTTACGTTGCGATCGCATTTTCGACCATCTGATTCTACATACGATTTCAAGTCCACGTGCAAGCGTGTATACGCGAAACATCTATCTTTGACACGGTACCGTCGACAATACGGAGCTGCGAGATTGTACAGTGTACAGCCTTCTCCGGTGTCTGGATGTACGTTCGTGATTGCATGTAAATGAGCGGAAACATGCAGGCTACGTTGCATGCCCAGACATACGACACACCAGCCGGGCGCACACGCTCTTTCAATGATCACAATGACGCCACCCCTCGTAACTTCAAGACGCCTTGTCGTCGTCTCGCGCTTTAATAGTCGCGACGCGTTCGCTGTTACGTTCAAAAATTCATTCGTCGAGCAATTATTGCGTCGTCCGATCGTAGCAGCTGCTCTCTAATTAGGCTACGTTTAGTTCTCGTCTTAAACGTGCCTCCTCTGTTTCAACGCGAAAAATTTCTCCCGATCGTTTATCTCCTATGTATCTTTCCTAAAGTTCGTCTTTCGACTTTCTGTGCCTCTCTCTGACTCGACATTTATTTGCCTATACTACTTGAACGATTCTACCACGACACTCAATTCATAAAAAGCCAAACAAAGTAATTTTACAAATCACAAACACACGACTAAAGAATTTGTTATTTGATAATTATCAGAAACTGATAATATCGGAAACAAAATTGCTAAATTTGTACGGTGTAACGCTAGAAAGGGAACGAGAGAGGGGATTGTATAGGATCAAAGGTCTCGTAAAGGCAAACATGCTGGCTTTATAACGTTTAATAACCGAATGGAATATACATTTGGTTAATAAATACACGATCGTGTGTGTGCGACGCAGGAAGGTTTAGTCGGTACACAGCCAGTGTCTCGAGAGTGACAGCAGCACCGTGAGAACAATGGCGAAGCTGAAATTAGTTGTACCGGCTCATCCCTTCTCGCATTAACGCGCGATCCAGTTGCCTCGTATATGTGTAATCCGCAAACGTTTCTGTAACCCGAGCGCCTGATATCGAGCGCTATTTTCCGACAATGTTTAACACGTTTACTTATCAACCGCCGCTCCAGTGACAGTTTAATCGATTACAATAATAGAGATAGTTTTCAAAATGCACCATCATCGATAGCGACGCGGTTTTACAGCGAGGTCACTTTTTTCTCAATTTTCTTCGGTGAGAGGTATTGTTCATAAATTGTTGTTACGAATAGAGAATGTAGGTTATAAGTCTGAAATCTCAAGAGATAAAAGAGAATAAAAAAGATGTGATTAATCGACTCGATGTCGTTTGATGGAAGAGGCAAATTAATTTTACCGTAGAATAACAGTAACACTACCGATAAAGAACGAACGCTGCTATGAACAGTAACACTGAATCAAGGATTCTAGTTATATAATACGCATTACAAAGGAGCGAGTTAACAGTTCAAGCGCAAACGTTATCTAATACTTAGTATAATTTTTGATTTACGAGGCTTTATCCGATTCCGGAATTGAATCCAAAGGATCCGTAATACAAACATTACGTCAGAGAGAAAAATTACAGAACGGAAAAAGGTCGGACAGATAGGAAACGATACCCTTTAAAGAAACGTCGAAATTTCTCAGGAAGAAAACTAAAGCCTCGAAGGGAAAGACATGGCTTTATCCAACGAAACGGCGCTCATCTAATTACGTTGCAATCCTATTTCCATCGTGTATACGTAGCGCATCGAACTGTTTACAGAAAATCGTATCAACAAAATCCTCATTCAATCCGCAACGATATTAACCTTAGCGAGGAAGGCGGTCCGTGGGCCGCTCGCAACAATTTTGGCCGAGACTACGATCTAATCCAGCAAGAGGATGGGAAGAGGGTAGTTAGGTATAGTCGAAGGGATTATCAATATTTACGCTCTTCCAGCAAGCTCACAGCTCGGGTCGTTCCACCTGTTTTCTCCTCGAGGGCCGTGCCTCTCTGTAGCCTCCTCCAAACCCCTAAGAGTACCAACCGCGGACGTTCTGTAGTGTGGTATCGGTGATCGCAGTAGAGCTCTCGAGCAAGAGGGTGCTCCCGACGTGGCAGAGCTCCAAATCCTCCTACGTTGCCACCCTCTCGCACCGCTGTCGTTACCACCACTCTCTTCGACCCACCGCCAACCGATTCCTGGTCCACCGACACATATCAACCCTCTTTTTCTTATCGAGGAGAACGTTCCTTTTCTTTCTATCTTCCTTGCTTCGTTTCCTCCACATCGATGATTCTATTTTTATCCGGCTACAGCTCACGCCCCCGTGTCTTATTCTCCCTTTTTTCGGTCACCCGGACCAAGCTCGACCCGGAATCGTACTCTTGCCACCATCTTCATTGACGTTTTCTTCTTCTCTTTCATGGTCCAAGCCCGGCTTCGTGAGTATGCCGGTCGTAGATCTATAAGGGCGGACAGCCACCGTTCTTCCACAGTCGAGTAGTACGTCCCCGATTTCATGATTGAAACGGGTCTGAAATGGGTTCCACGTACACAAGGAATATGAAACAACGTTTCTTCGAGCGGCACGGGGCTTCGGGCTAAGCGGACGTTCGTTTTCTCCCTCTCCCTCTCTTTCTCTCTCTTCCTCTATCTATCTATCTATCTATCTATCTCTATCTTTCGCTCCTTTTCCTCTTTGACATTTGAGGTCGCTGTTTTCAACGTTTTCCTTCGCGTCTTCTTTTCATCTGAACGAAATCTACTGTATTATACTTGTGTCAAAAATTTATGATCATGAAATATACATACGTCTAGACGTATATAAATCCTGTAACGTTGCTTTAATTTAAAAAATTGTGTAAAAATCGATGGAACAGTGAGAGGAAGAATATAAACGATGGTTAAATTGAACGCTCGAAAAAACGAAAGATTCTCGTGAAACGAGCTAGCATCCGTAAAGACCACGGTTGCTCCGAATGGTCGCGACAAAGCGGGACTCCAGAGAAGAGAAGTGTCGAAGAAAGATCAGAAGGTCTGTGATCTTGGAGCACCGCTCGCGACGTATAATGACGATGTCGTTAACCGCGGCGCGTCATCTTTCCCCTGGACGGTTCCGTGAAAGCGAATCTCGTGGGCGGAAGGGCGCGTGCTGCAGGACTAACAGGAATTGAAAACGCTACGGATACTCGTGCGGTCGCGAATGGTCGTGTTTTTGCCGTGAAAGCCGGCAGAATCGTCTACCACGGAAACGAGAGAAAACGTGCCAAGTCATTCGGCTTGGTCTGACCCACTTTTCGCGGAAGCGTAAAACGCGCGCACTTTGCGACGACGATCCGACGAAACTGATTCTCCTTTCTCCCCCTGTGCTTCTATATAGTTACACGGCTGCCTCGCGTTTTTTTTTTCTCTCCTTCCACTTTTCCTCCCTTTTTCCCTCCTTTTTTATCTCTGTTCCCCTCTTTTTTTTTCTTCCCTTTTTTTTTCTTTTTGGTAGACACAATGAATGACGGTTGAAGAGCATAACTCCTGAAAAGAAATCCCAATTTCGTGGCGCGGGTTCCCAAGCCCGGCCTCTGCGCGAAGCCTCGCAAACCTCGACTTTGTAATTCTGCGATACTTCCTGGACTCGGCGAACCACGTACTTGTAAATTGCTTAAGCTATTTGCTAGAGACATTCTTTGAAATACTTTTTTTACAGTTTCGTTAGATAGTAGATATAGACATTTCTCTTATTTCTTTTCTAACTTTAAACTGTTCAGAAGCCACACTGATCAGCCCTACAAATTCAAGTCGTAAAAGAGTAATAGCGTTAGAAATATTATTTATTAAGATTTTCCTCGAATTTTTGGATTATCTATGGCATTTTGATTTGTCGAGTATTTTTACGCTCGAATGCAGTAATTGCGGAGTTTGTCATTTATTCGGCTGTGAGATAAATGTATTAAGTTGCAACGTGTGAAATATGGGAATTTATTTTTCACTAAGTTCTAGACGATATACGTAACGTTTATAAGAATCGTAGAAAAGAAAAGACAATGCCAAACTTCATAATAATATACAAAACGTATACATAAATGAAAATATTCATTGAAAAAAGAAAAACTGTACAAAATTTGTTTAAGAATATCGGATATATCATATGTACAGCTTAATGATATCGTTCAGGTATTGCATTATTGTTCTTGTTGTCAACTATATTCTACGATATTCTTTGAATTAATGGTATCTTTTCA